TCTTCTTCCAGACTTCTTCTGGTTTGGACATCTGATGGGTCCTCTATTGAGAAGCGACTATTAATGTAAGTCCTGCACATTGCTTGTTGGAGTAAGAGATTCCTGACACCCCGTTCCACGGTGCATGTGACACAGATAGTGTACACAATATTGACAAAAGTATTTTATATATACTTATATATTTTATTCAATTACTTCAGTTCCACTTAAAGGCGTAGGATGATTCCTCACCACAGTGGACTACATACATCTTACTTCTGTCTCAGTGTGTTTCTGGGCTTAAAAAACACAATGATATGATGTTTGTTAAAAATCTTTTCTGATACTGCAGCCACATTTACTTACTACTTATTCTATGTCTACCCCCAGTTTGTCTTGTGTGTTTGCTTGGCCTTGTTGCTGTTTTACCTGAAGCCCAGTATGGGTGGCCACAGACATTCAAAGCTTCTCATTAGATGCCTTTGTCTGTAGAGTCTGTGCTTGCTGTTACCATCTTAGCAACATGTTGCAGAATTCCTCCCAGTTTTATATTCTAGTGTAGGGGTGCCCATTAGGTCGATCGCGATCTACCAGTTGATCACAAAGCAAACACTGGTAGATCGCGATCGGCTCATTGACATGAGCTCCTTCCCACAGTGCTAGTGCGGCTGAATGTGTCAGACGCTGCAGACAGGACGGAGCCTGTACACCTCTTCCCGTCTGCAGCATCGGACACAATTGGCCTCACTATCACCAGTGCGGGGCAGGATGCTACTCCCAGTCTGTAGCGTCGGACACACAGGCACCGCAAGAGGCCAGGACAACGCACATGAGAGAACAGCCAGGAAGCTGCTGCAGTGCAGGTAAGGAAAGACAGCCGGGAGTGAGAGAGAGGAGAAACAGTCAGAGGAGAGAGAGAGAGAGGAAGACACAGCCAGGAGAGCGAGAGAGAAGAGACAGGGAAGAGAGCAAGGAGAGAGAGAGCAAGGAGAGAGAGAGCGGGAGAGAGATAGAAAAGACAGCCAGAGGAGAGAGAGAGAGAGAGAGAGAGAGAGAGAGAGAGAGAGG